CAGCCTCCTGAGTAGCTGGAATTACAGGCACCCACCACCATGCCCGGTTAACTTTTGTATTTTTAGGAGAGACACGGTTTCACCATGTTAGCCAGGCTGGTCTTGAACTCCTGACCTCGTGATCTGCCCTCCTAAGCCTCCTAAAGTGCTGGGATTACAGGTGTGAGCCACTGTGCCCGGGCAGTCAATGTTGTTTCTATGCCAAGAATCCCAAAACACCCCAACTCCTCCAGAAAATGTGTACGCCTAATGTGGTATTCAAGGACCTTTACACTTTAATCAAATGACCTTATCTCATTCTTTACAATTTTCCTTCATATGCCTCATATCGCTGGATTTTCCATCTTTTTTCTAACACTTTTTTTTCCAATTTGCCCAAATCCTAACAATCCAAGACCTATTTCAAATGCCACCATCCTGAGATCACATAGATGGAATTTGCTTTCTCCAAATTTTACTTCCTTTGAGGGCATTTTCACTTCCTTATTACTGATTTATCCCTCTTAGACTCTTGAAGAAACTTATTTTTGACTCTTAATGTCTTACTATATCTCTATTTCCTACATAAGTCTTACAGATTAGGTGGAGCCTAAACGGCATCCAAAAAAAACAACAAAAACAAACAAAAAAACCCCAAAGCCAGCCCACTATATTTCCAATGTTTCCCTTTTTTGAGTTGGGGGTTCTCACTGTTGCCCAGGCACCAGCAAGTGCAGTGGCACCATCATGGTTCACTGCAGCCTTGAACTCATGGCCTGAAGCAATCCTCCCAGCTCAGTCAGTTGCTGAGTTTACAGGCATGAGCCACTGTATCCAGCATCAGTATTTTGCTTTTTGCCTTTTCCTGTGTTTCACACATTCAAGAGGGTTAGTATATTCTAACTTCTCCAATGACTATCCAGTAGGTCATTACATCAGTTACTCTTGAGATGTTTGGGGCCAGGTTCTTCTTGCCTTCTAACTGATCCTCATACTACCCACCAACCCACCCTGCCCCACTGCCAACCAACTTAGGATCATCTGTTAATCATAAACCATGTATTACTCACCACCTCCAAGTTCTTCAAGACTTCCATTAGAATGACATTAAAACCATGGTCCCTTGTGTGACTTGGCCTCTCTCTCTCCAATCTCCACTCACCTTACATGCGCACACACACCCATCCCATCCACCATTCAGACCTCATTTTTTGTTCAAGATGTTATGCTTTCCCATCTTATGGTTTCTGCACACCTACTGCCCAAAACACTGTTACCCAATGAGACTTTGTGCAAACCCTGACTTCTTAAATCCTCAGTTCCAAAGTCTCTACTCAGATGCACTTTCTCTCTTATTATGTGCAAAGGATAATAACAAAGCACACTGTGGGCATTCATATATATGTGCTAAATGCAATTTTTTGGTTTGCAATAACTGTCTGCTCCCACCATTTCCTGTGGTCTAACAAGGTTAGCCCAGATATATACTGTGTTAGTTCTTTCAAGTAAACATACAGAAAATACTGAGCACTTAAAAAGTGCCAGGCTAAATTCTTTTACATATATATTAACTTGTTTCTCACAAACCTATGAAACTTGTGACTACCATTTGAGAAGTACTTGTTCCAGGTCATGTAACTAATAAATAACAGAAAAGCATTTGATTGCAAGCTCTAGTTTTATGCTTACTCTAAATGACTGTTTCTTCTGCCTCATCTACCTATCCAACCTCAACACTGTATCACATACAAAATATCCACACTAAGTGTGCTCTTTTACCCCTTACTTTTCCCCGTAGACATTCTGTATTTAATAAAAATAATTATTCCTTATAGTTCCCAGGATACAACGAAAACTGCTCAGGACAACTGATGCATATCGTAACACCTTCTCGATGTAAACTGTTCTGGATACAAATTTTAAAAATGGGCTCAGACAAGTATCATAAATAATAAACGAAAGATTTTATTCATCTTTATAGATAACAAGCACTCAAAGGTTAATGAGTGAAGGAGATAATCATCTCCAAAGAGGCTTTTAATAAGGCAGAAGCAAAAATCTTTCCACTTTTAGATGAAAACTAAAAAATAACTTCTGACTTCAGATATGGAAATAAAGCACCGTTTTTCAAATGGTAGACTTGGCTTACTTAAAGTAAATAGCCCCAGACCATCTGAAAAAGAAAAACATTTCAATGCCCCTTGTGAGTTCTAATTACACGGCTACATATTAAGGAACGTCCCTCTCTGAACCTACTAGTAGACAAAAATTATACAGATAATACACATAAATGTAGGCTTCCATTTCATTTTTCATTTGCACAAGCTTCCAGCTATTTAACCAGGTGACAAATCAAAGTGACAAGATGTACTAATATTATTTGTGAGAACTTTAAATTTTAAAAGCTAGTATTTAATTACCCTTAGTGAGCCTGTTTACTTACACTAAAAATTATCCTATCAGTCATCATTTTTTATTCAACTAGACCATTTAATAATCCACATGGTCTAACATTTATCACGCTTTGTTCAGACCTCCTTACAATCATATCCCATCTATGACTTTTTTTTTTTTTTTTTTTTGGAATCTGTGGTACAAAGAACGATGCATAGCCCACTGCAAGCTCCGCCTCCCGGGTTCACGCCATTCTCCTGCCTCAGCCTCCCGAGTAGCTGGGACTACAGGCGCCCGCCACCTCGCCCGGCTAATTTTTTGTATCTTTTTAGTAGAGACGGGTCACCGTGTTAGCCAGGATGGTCTCGATCTCCTGACCTCGTGATCCGCCCGTCTCGGCCTCCCAAAGTGCTGGAATTACAGGCTTGAGCCACCGCGCCCGGCCTCATGTATGACTTATGCTTCACATAATCCCTTACCAGTAAAAGTGAAGCCTTAAGATTGACCTGGCCCCTCTACTAACCTTTGCGATCTTGTACCACTTCATAAAATGCTTACTCTAAACCACTAGACTAGTTTGGAAATAAATGGACCTTTTCCTCAGAAATAATCTTTCCTGGTGTACCAACTGAACACTTTAACCTTCATTTATCACTTTATTATTAATACAACATCCCAGGGAATAGACTCCCAAATTTCATCACCTTTCCTTTTTTTTTTTTGAGGCGGAGTCTCTCTCCGTCACCCAGGCTGGAGTGCAATGGCGCAATCTTGGCTCACTGCAACCTCCTCCTCCTGGGTTCAAGCGATTCTCCTGCCTCAGCCTCCCGAGTAGCTGGGGTTCCAGGTACGTCCGACCACACCCGGCTGATTTTTGTATTTTTAGTAGAGACAGGGTTTCACTATGTTGACCAGGCTGGTCTCAAAAACTCCTAATCTCAGGCAATCCACCCACCTCAGCTGGGGCTCGGCCCCTTTTCTCTCAATTTAAAAACTGCTTTAAAAACTACAAATCAAGTATTGGGTTAATATCACTTTACTGTTACTGATTCCTCTAATATTCCAGAAAGAGCACAAGATTTTTTCCATTTTTGATAGCTGCCTATTGTCAGTTTTAACTGGAGCTGAAAAACAGAAGACTTAAGTAAACTGAAAGCCATCATCAAGTTTTAAAAAGGGACATTGAAATAATTCCTCTTGAAGATATTTTCTTTAACGGCCACTTATTTCTACCCTGCAAAAAGCTTGAAATATAAAATTAGTATTTAAAGCACCATACAAAATAAAAAAAAACAGACAAAGGAGTAAGGTATGTTCCAATTTAATCTTTATGCACACAAATTTGTAAAAAATGTTAAACATATATACATTAAGTCACAAAAGAGATGCAATAATTATTGCTCACTTTTAAACATTATCTTATGCTATCAAAATTTGGCTACTTACTCATCACTATTACATGCACTTAAAGTTACATACTTACCAAATTTTCACTGTCTGTTTATTCCTGCTAGGAAAGGACACAGTTCCTTAGAAATTTACTTCACTTTAAATCTTAAAGACACAAATGGAGGGTCCATACTTTGTTTAGTGCTTATCTAAAAGAATGCATTGCCACATCACATGCTCAGGTATCGATTTTCAGATTTCAGAAAACTATCATTGTTCATACTAAAAAGCATCAGAGTTGACTATTCATTACTGGTTCCCAAAGATCACAGGAGGAAACAGAATGTAAAAACATTCTTAGTATATGCTAGTTTTTATCTAGGATACAGTTAAAAACTAGAGGGAAAAAATAATCCATGCGTTACATATACCGAGGCTAAATAAAGCAGGGCATAAAGTAATTAGAAACATACTCAGAAGCTTTCACTGGTATATGTGGTCTCAGAAATCAGTATTTCTAACTCCAATTTTTCATGCAGAGTTAGAGTGGCTGAAATAATACTTTTGAAATGTTTAAGCCTCTCAAAGAAACCCTGTAAGTAACTGGTCTGCATGAAGAATTCTGATTTTGGTAAACCCCTCTTCCACCCGAACTCCAGCTTACTGCTCATGAATCACTGCAACAACAGCTCCAACAAGAACAGAATGAAGTTCTGGTATCTTAACTTTACACCTATGCAATGTCTCCAAAGCACTGAGAAAAATCTTCTGGCTGCCAACTAAAAAGAAAATGTTTAAGAACTTTCTTAAATACTAGTTTTAAACATTTATTCCATCTCATGAAAATGAAATAATTTATCTGTTAAAAGTTTTTGTATTTGTAGTCTGTTAAGTGAAGGTCAGAAAAAGGTGAACTTTTTTCTTAAAAAAGCATTAAAAGGGAAATGCCAGGTGGTAAAATAATTTTCTAATATTCTTGATTCAAGTAATATCCAAAGAGATGTAGAAATTCAGATTGCTCCCCTCTTTAATCAAAGTGTCCTAGTTCAGTTAATTTTAGAAGGTAAAATTATAATATATAAAAGTATAAAATAGTACTCACCAGAAAGGCAGCTTTAAAGAGATGGTTTTAAGGAAAACCATTTCCACTGCATCTACACCATTTCATACACAAATTAAACTGTGAAAGGCAACGAAACTTAAGCCCTTGTGCAATTTTACATTAAAAAACAAGTGGATATCTTGTAAGATATATTTTATTATCAGTTGATAAATCCATGTTTTAAAATTTAACAATATGCACAATTTCCATATAAAGATAATCTGTTATCACAATGGCTAACCACCATCCAGTTCAAGAGGAATTCAAGACTAACTAGTTTTATGGCTAGATCGTCTCAATTTAGGTATCACACAAGGTGAAAAGGAAGAAGCCATACATCCTACCATCAGATTAGGATGGTTCAGGCTTGCGAAAATTAGAAATTAACTTGTATGCTTTATTCCTCCCTCCTCAGTGCTTTACATTTGTATCAACCTAAAAGCACAACATTTAAAGGTTAAAGGATGGTTCAAACAACAATGAACTTGGGTAGAATGAAAAAAATAAAAATAAAAATGTTAAACACATCTTCCACAACCCATTATATCCCCACTGCCCCTCAAAAGTGTTACATGAAGAATCTAGCTACATTTCTTGATGGGTAGTCAGCTTTCAATATTAAAAAGGGATGTTATTCTTAGTTCACAGTAAAATGAACTCACTGGTACACCAACAGGATACGTTATAGTTTACAAAAAAAGAAAAAAAAGGAGTACTTGTATCTACAAGTGTTGCTCAAAGAACAAAAAAGCATTATAAAAACATATTCTAGCTTATGACTGTACACCATTTATCATTTCTAGATGTGAGGAAACTTGCCTTTTTTCTTAGGTTGATTCATACTGTAAAAAGTTAAAAGGTGAATGAGAGAACCACCATGAAATAGCTTAAGTAAAAGACCCTGGACCCAAAGCCCTGGACTCCATATCATCTACCAACAAAGGCACAGCCAACTCAAACTGTCTTTTCCTTTTATGTACAATGTATCTACTTAGGTTGAACCACAAGGAGATAACAAAGGAGCAGTATTACACCTTTATTACAACTGGGGTTAGCAAACCTAGATCTACTTTGGCCCAAGTACTGAGTGTTTAAAGTGTCCAATGGATCTATTATTAGTTATACTCACATTTAAGTAATCGCACAGCTTTCTTCCTTGTGTGAGTTATATGGATATGTTTGAAAAAAATAGGAACATCAGGTACTTACAGATTAAACTAACCTGTACTGGCAGGGCTGTGGGATTTTTCTTCTCTACCAGTAAGTAGCAAATGCTGAAATTCTGCTGCTAGTTAACAAAAACACAAATTGTATTAAACTGAGGAGTTCAATCCATAGTTTAAAAAGTCAATGTGCATTAAATTTCCTCAGAGTCTGATATTAATACATTTAAAACTTTTCCCTATTTTTTTTTTTTTAACAAGTTACCTTATATTGGCTATTTAGAATGAGCTAATTAACAATGAAAATCTCTTGGACACATCTCAATTTTAATAAACTATGTATTCCAGTATGTGAACTGTGATGGAAATTGATTATTCTAAAAAGGGGATGGGCCTATATCTTAAATATGTGGCAATTTCTAAATTTAAACGAGTATGTAGACACACCCCCACAGACAAGCAATTTTTAAAAGCTTTTAATTCAACTTTCACAAAAATTAATTTTGTCACATCAGAGTCTCAATTTCAAAAACATGTACTGAGGCAAATTCTACTGTTTCTCCTTGAATAAGTGAACAGGTAAAAGGGGGCTTTGCTCAATAACTAGATGCTCCATATTTTTTCTAACTCAGACTAACTGTAACTGTAGTAACTCTTCCCTTGCTCCACTTGGGTAGGTAAGCAGCCTCATTCTATTAGTAAAGACAGGGATACGATGGTGCAAATCTTTTTTTTTTGACCCCTGTGATTGCTAAACTATTTATAAAATTTTAATAAGAAGCTACATTAAATAATATGGTGAGATCTCAGTAACAAATGCAAACCACGAGTAAGAATGCTGTTACTTTTCAATACATTTAAGGTTCTTAAGTCAAGCAACACTACCCAGTGTTCTCTCCCAAATAATCACTATTGGTCCATGTGTAGTAAACTGGGAAAATACCATTCTTCATTTTTATCCAAGTTGGCCATCAAGGAATTTCACAGTTAGTTCCTCAGACTTAACTAATGGTGAAGGAACACAGATTCAACCATAATGGTAAAATGCAAACCAACCAATCCAGACGCTAACAATGTCAGAGGGCTTAGAAAATGCCAATAAAGGACTTCACCTTTTTACAAACACAGCACACATTACTGAAGCTGTGCCACATTACTACCTTACAGACCATGACATCATTTGGAATTAATGGGTGGAGTCCAAGTAATCAACCACTAAGACAGTTTACTCACATGTACCTCCTCTGAGGTTATTTTGATAAAAAGTGAAACATATACATAAACATTCTTTTAACTGATTGTATGCCTCTTAAAGAACGTAACCATCAAAGTTTCCATCTAATTAGCCAGTCTGGATTTATAATAGCGTTCAATTTGCTTCAAATAGGAATAGTTCAAATTAGTTTCAGCAAAGACCTACCTCATTTGGGCTACAAATTTCTGCCTCAATATGACTACTACTTCTGCTTAGTAAAATAGACATTTTACCCTGAGAATACATGAGACTAACCAAACAGATTTAAAGAGAGATGGTTCAGATTTCTCAAACTAATTTAGTTCCAAACTATTCTTTTCCAGAGTTAAGAAAATGAAAAGCTTTTCCTTTCTAGACTAAAATATTATGCAAAAATGTATAGAGCCAAGAGTAAGAAAAAAATAGTAGTTACTAAAAGCAATTATCTTACTGAAGAATTTTTTTTTAAATGTTACTTTAAAACTTAATCTATTTTCTAACAAAAATGACAGGTAAAAAAAATAAAGACAGATGTTTTAGGGCTTAAACACTTGGAAAAGGTGGATATATTTAGGTTATTGGGAAGCTCAAACCGAAGTCCTACTTTCTCCATTTCCTACATATTGGTTTGAATTAGATCCATAATAAGGTGTCTAAGAGCTTAAGATACTAGTTTAGAAAATTCAGCACTAATCACAAAATTAATGAATATCCATTATGTACACGACCATACAACATCAAGTGCTTATTTTGCCAAGAAACATCACACAGAAGTCAGATGACTTCTTTGCTATAAAAACAAAAGGTTATTTAAATGATTTAATGACAGAAACTGAAATACTGAGAAAGGGTTTTAAAAAAGGAGTAAACTTTACTGTCATGAGATAGTTAGCATAAGTGGAATTGGGGGAATGTTTACTTATAAAAATCTGCCCTATAGCCAAATAGCCTTAAAACTGAATCCCCTTTCAAAGGACTTTTCCATAAAAGTTACAATGAGGAGCAAAAAATTTCAATTTGGAATAACGCAGAAAGATTATTCAGTATTAGGTCAATAACTACAACCTTTTAAAAAAGACATACATGTCTGTATAAATTTTAGGGTATCTACTTCTAGGGTACATGTCTACTTTCATCAGCTTATTCAAACAAAATTTTGACTCGGTTAAAGTGGTGACTTCACCATTTTCTTTCATTTGCCAAGTTTTACCAGTGGATGTTACAGACACCTAAAAATTACATAATTATCGAAATCTTATTTGTCTGAGTCAGAGAAATACAAAAAAAAAAAAAAAAAAAGGAACTATCTGGAACTATCTTAGTTATCTATATATATTACCTTCAACAAATTATGACATTACTAAATTCCTCCCACCCCCAGTACTCAAGCAGATAAGAGCCTGTATTTCCAGCACACTTTTTTTCAATTATCACCATTAGAATTACGACAAGCAACTTAGAAAGATTTCAGCATACTGGGGGATGGTAGGTAATAGAGAAAACAGATCTCCAATTAAGGACTCTTACACGTTGATTACTGAGGTTATAAAATAGTTGAATGGAATATTTTGTCATGGAAGCAACAAAATTCTTTAAATATTAAAATCCTTTTACAGTGAAAAACATGTTATTTAACAAGTCAAAATTTGTAATTCACTTAATGCATATTTTTTCTTTATGCTTCCAAGAATGAAAACCATATGCAAACAATTCCAGGTTTGCTAAATGCTACACTGTTCATTGTTACTGCTCAGAGTAAACTGCTATCTGGATAGAATGGTGGCTCAAACACAAGAAACAAAAGTAATTCAGGTTTGTTTTTGGCCTCTCTTCCAATTCTCTAATTATTCCCTACAACACACACACACACACACACCTTTTCTCACCAAATAAAAGCAAATTTTAGTTGGAAACAAATGTGCATACTTTTCACATGTCCATAAAACATTGTTCAGTGAGGCTGAAAATGAACCTCAAAATAATCACTCCAAAACCATAGTTTATCTTACTTTACCACATGATCAGGTATCAAATTTCAGTTTGGATACCTGAAATTAGCAATCCATCCATGCTGAAAGGTCTGTAACACCCAAATTCTTGTTGTATCAACTGTATGGTCTATATCCCCACATACACAAAGCACGCACAAAGACACCACCTTCCCACCTTAACAGGGCTCTACATTAACATTTGCTCTAATGTGGTGAGGCTTGAAAATATTTAAAATTAAGCATTTCCAGATGACCTTTTAGCCTTAACATTCAATGCATAAGTTAGTGATTAAGAATGCAGACTTTGGCCAGGCGCAGTGGCTCACGCCTGTAATCCCAGCACTTTAGGAGGCTGAGGCAGGCGGATCACAAAGTTAGGAGATCGAGACCATCCTGGCTAACATGGTGAAACCCTGTCTCTACTAAAAATACAAAAAATTAGCTGGGCGTGGTGGCACATGCCTGTAGTCCCAGCTACTCGGGAGGCTGAGACAGGAGAATCGCTTGAACCCAGGCCAAGACTGCGCCACTGCAATCCAGCCTGGGTCTGTAAAAGTCTAAAACAAATATAAAGAGAAAAAAAAAAAAAAAAAAAATACAGATTTTGGCCAGGTGTGGTGGCTCACACCTATTGTTATCTCAGCACTTGGGGAGGCTGAGGACGGGTGGATCACCTGAGGTCAGGAGTTTTGAGACCAGCCTGGCCAACATGGCAAAACCCCGTCCCTACTAAAACATATTTAAAAAATAGCCAGATATGGTGGCAGGAGCCTATAATCCCAGCTACTCAGGAGGCTAAAGCAGGAGAATCACTTGAACCTGGGAGGTAGAGGTTGCAGTGAGCCGAGATCGCACCACTGCACTCCATCCTGGGCGATAAGAGTGAAACTCCGTCTTAAAAAAAAAAAAAAAAATGCAGATTTCAGTATCCAGTGGCATTTCCAACGATTAAACTTATCCTTGAGGTTAAATTTAATAGTTTATGGAGAAAATAAAACCAGTAAGATTTTCCTAAAAGTGAAAGTAGAAAATTTGAATGAAACATTTCACGTCTCCAAATCAAAAACATCAAATTTTGTGAATTTACTAAAGTTCAATATAGTAACACAAGCTTTACTGAAGCTGTTAATTATGTAACACAAAGCAAATTACATAAAAATGCATATGAAATACTTAGGTTTATTAACACCACAGTCAAACGTGAATATTAATATAGAGCCTTCTCTGCCAAAAGAGTATAAAAATCCTAAGTTTAATTAAATTTAGGGGCCTTCACCAAACTTGCTGCAAGTTTGGGGACATAAATATCCAACAGCCATAAAGCTGTGAAAGCCCCTATAAGGAATAAAATAAATCCCACTTGCCTCAGACTGAACAGGGCAACACTGAGACTCAGCCTCAGCCTGTCCTATGGCAGGGCTATAGGAAGAAGAAAATTTTAATTTTAGAAAAACAGTTCCCAATTAATTTAAAAGACATGCATTAAATTTAAAAAAAAAAAAAAAATCCCAATGATCAAGCAAGCAAAAGGAGCAGCTTTGTTTTTAAAACTACTGTCCACTACAATTCTATTCTGAGCCCGTACTTCTTTTTGTTGGGGAATCCCCCTCCCCAATTAAGTTTCATTAAGGTGAGTCTAAGTTCAAAATGTAACTTAGTGGAATAGGAGTACAGTAGGAATATTTTAATCATACCTAATGGCAAATGTGTGAGACTACTAAAATACTAAGTATTCAAATCAAATAATTCCAGCAGCCACTCAAAAATTAATCCTCACCTGCTGTGGCCTTGTTACTGTTACACAGTATGAAAACTTATACAACAGAAACTAGTGCCAGACAAAATGTTTGTTTTTCTAAAAGGGGTGGATGTAAGGTAGAGCCAAAGCTGCCAGCCCTACTAACCTTACAGCTTCCTTAATTATGGCAATTAGCTTGAATTATCAAGTCCCAAAACCTGTCTTCTGTGAGGGCAGTTGACATCCACTTTGACTCAACTTCATCTATTACTTAAGGAAATTTGAGTCAGAGTCAATTATATGAATGTAATTTGCTCTACTCATGATTCAACCACGCTATGGACCCCAGAAGCATTTAGATAAAAGGTATTTTCTAGAAGCTTAATTATGCTTGGATGCATGCAAAAATTACCCTTCAAATATATTAAATGGGTACACCACCTCTGAGCCTATAGCTACAAACTCAGGAACTCATGAGCTTAAGTTTTATGTGCCAATGCCTAACACTTTCAATTAATTTTTAATTAGAATTCTATCCCATATTAAAAATTTCCATTTTTGCCCATCAGACATATACAGAGAGCAAAAAACCTTGCTATAAAGTATCAGTCTTCTTTGCATAAAATGCAAATAAAGTTTCACGTAATTTCTGAAACAGGTCTACTAAACCTATTGCAGTTTGTCAATAACCCTGTACATGAAATTCTTGAGAATTTGGGGGAGCATCCCTTACTTAATCATTGTAAATTTAATCTCACCATTTTTATCTTAAAGATTTTCAACACGAGTTTTTCTTTGGCAGTATATTAAGTGTGCTGCCAAATCAAAGAAGCATGTATTAATTTTGAAACCATTTAGGTAGGCAGAGGTTCAGAGGGGAAAGTGGTTTGAGATTTGGTGGCTGGCAGAAGGAAGAAATACATTCTTGGCAAAATATGGTAGTTTTATGTTCAAACTATGAAAATTTTTGTACCACTATGGTACCACAAGCACAGGAGCCATAAAATCATTGAAGCCAAATAATCAGGTATTTAAATTTATTTTTTGACACTCTCGCTCTGTTGCCCAGGCTGGAGTGAACATAGCTCACCGCAGCCTTGACCTCCTGTGCTCAAGTGATCCTCCTCCCTCAGCCTCTGGAGCAGGTGGGACCACAGACACACACTAAAGCGCCTGGCTAATTTTTAAATGTTTTGTACAGGTGGGGTTTTCCCATGTTGGCCAGGCTGGTCTCAAACTCCTGGACTCAAGCAATCCTCCCACCTCAGCCTTCCGGAGGGCTGGGATTACAGGCGTGAGCCACTGCACCCAGCCAATAAGAGTTAAAATAGCATTCAGCTTTATAATACTTGCAATGTTTTGCTTAAAGGTATGACTTCTACCTGTCACATATATACAAACTCTTTTGTGATGGCTAAATCACTTTTCAATATATTTTCCATCAAAGTTAAAGCCCTTTTTTCGTTACAACTTCAGAGTCCCTGTCTTTTATCTATACCTTCACAGTAAAGTTATAAAGAAATGTTACCATTTTCTTGGAAGTCTTAACTTTACAATGAGAAAAACTCGAGTTCATTATATTAATACTTTGCACAGGTTATTTGATGCCTAAAAAATCATAAAACTACCCTGCAAAAGTAAAGATCAGAAAAACAGATCCCAAAAAGGTCCACAAGAGCTATTAAGAGGTTGTAACACAAAATACTGAATAGCAGTCATCTCTACAGAAAAGCTCTCTGTAAGAACACAACATTCAAAATTTCCAAGGATAAAAAGTTGCACAGTAAGGCTACCTAGGCTTAATAACAGAAGGTACTCAAATGAATAATGTAATCTTCCAGGAACATAATAAAATTAAAAATTGCCAACCCATCTGTTAACCATCCCAACAGAGACACATTTAGATTCTCAGCATTACACTTAGAATAATATATTACAACCCATTAACAGCACAAGAAGCTATTACTGCATGCACCTAAGCTTCTAGAAGTTTGTACCTGAAAAGCTTCTGAGGTCCATGCAGTACTGAAGTCTCAAAAATAATCAAAAGGAAATGAATGGGTCTGGCACTAGGCTCTAAACATCTCAGCAGGAAGGAAAAGTGTTAACATTTACATTTTAAGTATCTATGACACGTGATGTGTACTGACACCAAAGAGGGTGGAAAGGTGATTATAAAGATTTCATACCCATTATGTAATGACTCATGTATCTAAGTTTTTCTCTTAACTGAAACATTAACATACAACTCTATGCATATTCAGTTTAAAACATGCAGCTAAGAAATAACCTACAACTCAAAAGACAGAATCCAATGATATATCAAAACTGCATTGGTAACTATAAATTTTATTATGTGGACATCTACTGTGGCATGCATCTGTACAAACCTTTCAGGCAGTGGTCCACAGCTGGATTATGAATAAAAAGGCATAAATTTTTCTCTCATTTTATTACAATGAAGTTTAACAGTACAGAAAAGTCACATGACCTTGGTGGGTCAGATTTCTTAAACCCTGCAACATGAGGAACTCTAAATACATTAAATATTGTTACACATTCAGACTTCCAATGTACAAGTACTTGGAAACAGTTACAGCCCTCACCAAGCTAGGTTGGGGACATGAAGTCCAACAGCATCTGAAATGCTGTGAAGGCAAACTTTACAAATAGCAATGTAAGCTTACAGAACTTGCCTTTATTAAGGTGGTATGTTCATGTAATTCCAGCGCCTTCACAATTTAACGAACCAAATTTACTATACTTCACTTCTAAAAACCTAGATGAAACATGAAAAAGAAGCCATACAGTATAAATTGCAACTTCAGGAAAAGTTCCTGCTTTATTATTCCAAATAATTTTTCCCATGTAAAATAAATGTCCAATAGTTCCTGGTATGTGGGAAGATAATGTTTGTTAAAGTCACAATGAAGCCTTATTGACGGAAGCTTGGCTATATAAACAGCACAAGTTGAGAAAAGGTTTAATCTCCAAACCTATTAGACTGGATGAAGTAAGATCAGTAACGGCCACCTTGCGACATTACAGGAGGTCTCATTCCCATCGGAGGTCGAGGAGGCCCACCCTGGTAAGGGGGCACCATGGGCGGTCCCTGCCCATACGGGGGCATAGCACCAGGAAGGTATCCTGGCATGCCTTGATGATGACCACCATACTGACCTAAAAAACAAGAATTTCAAACACAAAAAATAGATTGTTACGTATTGTACTTTTAAATGCAATGTATACTGCAGATAAATTTAATATTTTATGCATGAACTTAGAAAATCCACTAAATATGATAAACATAAAAAGAGGAATACCATGAGGTGGCATTGGGGGTCTCATTCCTTGTTGCTGTGGGATGCCTGGCTGCGGTGGCATCATACCTCCAATTGGTCCAACTGGTGGATTACCGATGGGGGCCTGTCCTGGCCGAGGAAGATTACGTTGATATTTAGGTAACTGTGCCCTTCTCTCTTCCTGGGAATAAAAATAAGCACAAGGCTAAATACTCAAATGTAGAGGCTCATCAAGCATAAAGGCATGCATCTAAAATCTTACAATGTTAAGAGTAATTTTCAAAAATTTACCCTTACATCCCAACTGTTTACTTTTGCCAGACAAACCAATCCAACTACTTAAACTCTAGATACCTTAAAACTTCACCTATTTGTAAACTTGAAGCATGGCTAACAACTTTCCAGGAATTACAAATTGCTTCAACAAGAAACTAATAAAGTATTGTTAACATTTTTTTTTTTTTTTTGAGATGGAGTTTTGCTCGTTGCCCAGGCTTGAGTGCAATGGCCAAGTCTCGGCTCACTGCAACCTCCGCCTCCCGGGTTCAAGTGATTCGGCTGCCTCAGCCTCCCGAGTAGCTGGGATTACAGGCATGCACCACAATGCCCAGCTAATTTTGTATTTTTAGTAGAGATGGTGTTTCTACATGTTGGTCAGGCTGGTCTCGAACTCCCGACCCTCAGGTGATCCACCAGCCTCGGCCTCCCAAAGTGCTGGGATTACAGGTGTGAGCCACTGCGCCGGGCCAACATTCTATTTTCATTTTTCAAGATGGAGTCTTGTTCTGTTGCCCAGGCTAGAGTGCAGTGGGTAATCTTGGCTCAATGCAACCTATGCCTCCCAGGTTCAACTGATTATCCTGCCTCAGCCTCCTCAGTAGCTGGGATTACAGGTACCCGCCACCACACCCGGGTAATTTTTGTATTGATGGGGTTTCACCATGTTGGCCAGGCTAGTCTTAAACTAATGATGTGTCATTTGTCTGTCTTGTGATCCGCCTGTCTTGGCCTCCCAAAGTGCTGGAATTATAGGCGTGAGCCACCATGCCCAGCCGTTATCAACATTCTAAACATTAACTTTATATCAAAATTAATTCCTTTATACGGGACTTAAGGGATCTGCAGATTCTACTTCACACTTAACGTTTCTTCAATTAACATGTGCAAACTTATGTTTAACTAAAATGATCTTTAAGAGAGTTAAGAACCTGACTTGCTGTCTTCTTTTAGAAACAGTCTGGAGGAAGGGGATAGAAAGCACCTAAGACCAAAACATGCAATATCCATTCACTTTAAGTACTTTATGATTTCTTAAGATTCAGAATGGCAAAAACCACTTAGTTAGCATTAAACCAGATCACAGACCATCTGAGTACAAATTAACACTTTTTAAAGGGACAAACTGCTATAATGGCTTTAAATTAAATGCTGCTAGTAGAAAACTAAAAACAACTTACCAGGGATATATCCTCATCTGGATGGATCAACTTACTGGTTGCACTAGTTGTTGTGAGTGTAGCAGGCTTACTTGTTATTGAAGCTGCTGGTTTAGCTGCAGTACTATTTGTTGTACTAGTGGTTGAAGCTGTAGACTGTGTATAAGCAGGGAATGTAGGCTTTGGGGGTTCTGTAGTTGTTGCAGGGGTACTATTTAAGGGTTTGAAATCTGTACCAACAGGTCCTTGGACAGCTGCCTGAGCCTGTAAAATACAATACTTCGTCAACAAAACCTCAAAACCCAAAATTAACTATATCTACAACAGTTTAACTTAAAACAAGGCATCAACATCAAAGCGCCAAACTTTAAATGAAATTAAAACAAAGTTAACATGTGGTAAACACTCCACAAAATTCAAGATAACCCATAAAAACATCAAAAGATGCTGGGTTAAAGTCACACCCACAACACAGCAATGGAAATAAGACTATATTTAACTTGTTAGATGTCTTCTACCTCTTCACCAAAAATTAAATTTACAATGCTCTGTATTTATTCCAGATTGCCGAAATACAGTATAATAGAATAGCATGTGTTCTATTTTTACTGTTCTATTAATAAGTTTAGTTATTAATCTATCAAACAGCTAAAAAACCAAAAAACTACAGAATGAGAGTTTAAATTCCAGTTACTAAGTATAACATGAACGAGTGTAAATGGTGACATATTAAAGATACATCCTTTAGTAGTATTCTTTATATATATAATCCCCTCCAAATTAACAATGGCTGGATAATTATCAAGGACAAAAGGGTTAATTTAGCAGGATCTTTTAAAGTAACAAGTTACCAGTAACAAATGTGTTACTTTTCATAATACCACACATCTAAAACATGTAGACTAGGCCAACTTTAGAACCAAAGCAATGTATTAAATTTTCTTACATTAAATGTGATGCATTAAACAGCACAAATCAAAATAGCTTAATCATGCATCAGGCTAACCATTGGCCACTATAATGCATTTACTGCTTACATGCTTTTAACCCTTTAGAACCACAAGAGTTCGGGGTAGTTTTTTTTAGCATGAATTAAAATTTTTAAATACCATTTGACTTATACGGCATTAATTTTGCTTTAAAAAAGTAAACAGTATATTTTGGGAAAAATATTCATTTTTTAAGTAGGGTCCAAAGGGTTAAGTTATAAAGCCATTTTAACAATTTTAAACTGCAACTTCCTGCGTACTTGTGCTGTGCTAGGAAACAGAGCTTTAGAAGATGCAGACAGACTTTCTGAATTGGATGAAGCTGTACTTGAGCTTGTGACAGGTGTCCCCATCTGTAGCATAAAAGAAAGGAAACAATGAAAAGTCTCCAAACAAATGGGTCAAAATAAGCCATGTGGTAGACTTTCTAGTAGATTGCGTATTTGTAAATGCAAAATTTAATGCAATCAAATGTCATTTACTTTAAAAGGCAGGCAGTTAATGCATTTACAATAAACAAGATTAAAGTATGAGCCTCAAAATTTTAATTCTATACCAATAAAACCTAGTTAACTAGCTTTTCTAAAACTACTGTGTTTTGCATTATTTCAAGAATGATACCTGAAACTGAGAATAATTATGTATAAATACTGACACTTCAATCCAATTCTGTATCAATGATTCTCTACAAAAAGATTTTTGCCAAATTTTACATCTCTCAATACATAAAATTCCCGTCCACCATAAAGCTAGGTTAATGTGCTTAATAAAAGGCACTTAAAGAAAATGCTTTTAATTTAGCACCCACAAACAGAAAAAACAGTTAAAAAAAAATCTAAGGGATAATCTAAAAAAGAAAATGAATAAACATACATCCTGATCTAAATTCTGAATAAATTAAACCTGAATCTGCTTAATTCTCAATGAAACGAGGAAAAAAAGCAAAGGTGTTAACCATTATGTGCACACTACATAGAACAGAAGCATCTTTCACTTATGCTCCGGAAAAAAAGTTGTAAAAGCTTTGAAAAAAGACCAATAAGAAATACAAGTGTGCCTAGGTCAAAAGCCATTAAATTACGCCATTTTAGCACAAGTGTGGCATTGTAGCTCATCGCTGTTCCATACTAGAGGCAGAGCCTGACAAATAATTTGCTACCATCTTAGGAATGCTCATCTTTGACTTTGCTGTCCTTCCATTCACAGTTCAGCTAGCAAAGGAAAACTTCTAAACACTCCAGATATTAAACTTTCATTAGCTTAAAAAAAAAAAAAAAAAAAAACAAAGAATAAATAGGGTTCACAACTATGAAAAAGTAACATACTAACTTTGGCTCCATTTAACCTTTTATGGGTAGAGGAAATCAGTGTGTAAACATCGAAGTGGATAAGCCACCTTTTAGTACATTTAATAAATAATATTAAAAATACTATAAACGAAAAAAAAACTGACCTACGAGAATTTCAAAGACTTCTGTAAACAACTGTACTTTATCTTTAAGTGCACTCCTTTACAGGATTTTCACCTTACCTGCCCAGCACTGGGGAAAAGAGGCTTAGTAACTGGAGGCTGTGGAGCAGGTACAGTTGCTGTTGGTGCAGGTGGTCTATTAAGAATACCTGGCGCTGAAACAGCCTGTGCTTGGGTCATTGGAGGAATTCCAGGACGTGGAACAGGTGGGGGCATACCTGCAGAGAAGAAATGTTTGGGGAAACTGAGTCACTGAAATATTTAGTGTAGGAAAAAACACTTCTATACTACAAAGTTATGAACAATTACCTGCTCAATGACTCGATTAAATCCAAGGAACTCAGGCATTTGCCCCATGCAATATTCTTACCTCAAATTTTCCCTTCCTTTGGACTGCTTCAGAATTTTACAAAGTGGAAGATAACACTAGACTCTGCTGCATGCACAAAACATCTGGCAATTATGCTTACTGATCCTAATGACTTAGCAAACTTCTTGCAATATATAAAATAATTATTTCAATCATCTACAAGACAGATATTTAAATGTTCCCTGAACTCTTGTGCAAATTACAATAAAAACTCTATGAATCAAATACCACGAACAATAAAAGCTTTTCCAAAGTTAAACACATCACTACTACATTCTTTTTTTTTTTTTTTTTTTTTGACGGAGTCTAGCTCTGTCGCCAGGCTGGAGTGCAGTGGGCGGATCTCAACTCACTGCAGCTCCGCTCTCCCCGGGTCACGCCATTCTGCCCCTCAGCTCCCAGTAGCTGGGACTACACGCGGGCCACCGCGCCCGGCTAGTTTTTTGTATTTTTTAGTAGAGACGGGGTTTCACCCTGTTAGCCAGGATGGTCTCGATCTCCTGACCCTGTGATCCGCCCGTCTCGGCCTCCCAAAGTGCTGGGATTACAGACTTGAGCCACCGCGCCCGGCCTACTACATTCTTTAAACTTCCGCAACATGACAAAACTTTTTTTTTTTTGAGACGGAGTCTTGCTCTGTCGCCCAAGGCTGGAGTGCAGTGGCCGGATCTCAGCTCACTGCAAGCTCTGCCTCCCAGGTTCACACCATTCTCCTACCTCAGCCTCCCGTGTAGCTGGGACTACAGGCGCCCGCCATCTCGCCCGGCTAGTTTTTTGTATTTTTTAGTAGAGACAGGGTTTCACCATGTTAGCCAGGATGGTCTCGATCTCCTGACCTCATGATCCGCCCGTCTCGGCCTCCCAAAGTGCTGGGATTACAGGCTTGAGCCACCGTGCCCGGCCATGACAAAACTTTTAATGACTTCATATTATCAAATGAACATCAATTATTACTCTGTATTCTTTTAAATACCTAAATATGTATCACAACATAATGTATCAGGAGCCGCCAGGCAATTATTCGTATTTTGTTGATGCTTTATTTTTCCTGTGTCCCTTTACATCAGTTATTTTCAGCACTCTAAATATGCTACGGATTGCAAACACACCAACATAAAAACCAGGCTAGGGCCGGGTGCGATGGGTCACGCCTATAATCCCAGCACTTTGGGAGGCTGACGCAGGTGGATCAAGAGGTCAGGAGTTCGAGACCAGCTTGACCAACACAGTGAAACCCCATCTCTATTAAAAATACAAAAATTTGCCGGGCGTGGTGGCACATGCCTGTAATCCCAGCTACTCAGGAGGCTGAGGCAGGAGAGAATCGCTTGAACCCAGGAGGTGGATGTCGTGGTGAGCTGAGATCACACCACTGCTCTCCAGCCTGGGTGACAGAGCAAGATTCCATCTAAAAAAAAAAAGAAAAGAAAAGAAAAGAAAAAGAAAGAAACAGCCTCATGTGGTGTACCTCGCTGGCCAACTGAATCCCTCCTTGCTGGCCAACTGAATCCCTCCCTTTCCTTGTGCTGTATTTCCTGCTTCATAGGCCAAATTCTATATACTTAATTTCCCAGGTTCCCTCACAGCATAATATGTAAGGAGCTAAGGCGCTTTTGGGAAAGTTATTTTGCTTCCAAATAGAAGAAAAAGGAGGTCAGGTGCTGCAGCTCACTCACACCTGTAATCTCAGCATTTTGGGAGGCTATCCGGCTGCAGTGAGCTATGATCGTGCCACGGCACATCAGCCCAGGCATCAGAACAACACCCTGTTTCAAAAAAAAAAAAAAGGAAAAAAAGAAAATGGAGAGTGCACTACTACTGACACCGCTTCTTGTCTGAGCTGTCTTATAACCAAATGACATTTCTGAGGAAAACAAGCTAAGATTAGCAAAGTCAAAAAAGCATGGGTTAATAAGTATCACTGAGCCACTCAGTTTGTTGACTGAGACAATAAATGCCTACACCGTTTAATACAGTTTGTTGGAGCCGCGCGCAGTGGCTGACACCTGTAATCCCAACACTTTGGGAGGCCAAGGCAGGTGGATAACCTGAGGTCAGGAGTTTGAGACCAGCCTGGCCAACATGGCGAAACCCCGTCTCTACGAAAATACAAAAATGAGCCAGGTGTGGTAGTGGGTGCCTGTACTCCCAGCTACTCGGGAAGCTGAGGCAAGAGAATCACTTGAACCCTGGAAGCAGAGGTTGCAGTGAACCAAGAGCATGCTCCAGTATGGGTGAGAGTGAGATTCCGTCTCAAAAAAAAAAAAAAAAAAAGTTTGTTGGATTTCTCTATTACTTGTCTAAAATATTCCTAACAAATACAAGCGCTCTTAAGTACATGAGATTCAGCACATAGGCCATGACTCACTTTGGCTGCTTTGAAACCTATCATCTATTTCAAACTTTAAGAAAGGGCCATGGTCTTCAGATATCCACTAAAATACATTTTTGTAAATAGGGCCCATATAACACTTCTCACAGGAACTTGCAACTTACGAAAATTTTTAAATTTCATTATACCAATGCCCACAGATGTCTAAAAAAACTTAGAATTAAAGCCTGTACATCATATTAAAAGGAAATTGTCTAACATATCATACCTGGTGGCATTCCAGGCATCAGAGGTGGTATTCCTGGTCCAGGTGGCATCATTCCACCCATTGGCATCATTCTATTAGAAAGCAAATTTCAAGAAACAGTAAGTTAATGAACAGCATAAACCATTAAAAAATATTCTGGCTAAAGCCTGAAACAACACTAGATAGACTTGAATCTGACCTCTAATATTGATATGAATCAAGCTGAAAGAACACACAACACACTGTAACAATCCTATCAAAATAAATTGTTTAAAACCTAGCAAACTCTTTGGTTTACCAATAAAAGAAAAAAAAATGTTGACAAAACATTTAAAGTCATTGCGAACAAATATACTCTCAATATGTATAAGAGACCTCATCTAAAATACGTGTAATGGAAAGCAAAATTACCACTTTTTCCACTTGTAAAATATCCACACAGAGTATTAAATAAAAAGAAGAAACCTCTATTTTAGAGTTGTGTCAGATTTTGAAAAGGAAAAGATTGAATGAATGTACCCTTTGAAATGAGATTTTTTATTTGGCTAGGTGCAGCAGCTCACGCCTGCAATCCCAGAACTTTTCAGAGGCCAACGCTCAAGGACTGCTTGAACCCAGGCTGGACAAAAAGTGAGACCATATCTTTTTTAAAAAAGTATGTTTTTAAAAAAAATTTCAAACATTAGCTGGGTGCAGTACTGTGTGCCTGTAGTCCCAGATACTCAGGGGGCTGAGGTGGGAGGATCACCTGAGCCCAGGAAGTCAAGGTTGCAGTAAGCTGTGACTGCACCACTGCACTGTAGCCTGGGCGACAGAGTAAGACACCCTGTCTCAAATACATACACGCGCGCGCACACACACACACACACACACACACACACATATATTTTTAGAGGAAGGAAATGCTACCACCAAAATTAAAGACACTCAAAAGTAAAATCAGATGGCCTAATATTTACAATAACTACCTAACACTAAACCATGACTTAAAAACAACCCATTCATTTTTTTCCCCTAAAAGAGCTCACCTTCAAATATCAGTGTCCAATTCACTTAAAAAACGACAAATTGGTCAATTTTCTTCAAAATTTTTAAATTTTTTGTGGGCAAATTCAGTTCTTGATTTAAAATTTTTATCAGAAGATTAACTTCTATTGATAGATTAGAAAATTCCATTACATCCTATGATAATAAAGCACATTTCACAGAATATAGTCTTTCTTAAATACTAACCCTTATTATCAGGTCCCATTACTTTTAATAGTTTGGAGAAAAATCACTGCACGTTTGAAGTATGTTTATATGGGTCTATTACTATTTCCTAAAAGATGTTTTATTTTCCTTCTTTAAGAGACCTGTGTTAATTAGCTTTCAAGTTTTAGTGAGGAAGGTTAGAAAATTTCTGAAGTCAACTGAATAGATACCATTAAACACACACATAAAAAAAATGACAGTATGATTATACCTCCTGAATTACATTATGAATGAGATGCTTACATGTTTTCACCGCAAAATGACTGGGTGTATTTTCTCTGATGATGCAATCTGTGAAAATGTATGACAAAATCAAAATCTAACTGTGATTTTCAAAATACAGTGGGAAAGTGTATTGTATACCTCTCACATCCAACAATATTTAAGTAAAAGTGATGGGCACAAGCACCTCATACTCATTTTAGTTTTGATGCTTTGACAAATAAATCATTTACAGAGTTTGTCTGCTTCTTGTCGCAACTACAAAGTGTCACAGATAGTTCTGAATCTCAGAAACGCAAATCTATAAATAACCAACTACTTTAATCACAGTAAATGCAATTGAAGTAGATGGTTGCTTACATATACCCTAAAACCCAAAAATCTATTATTCAGAGGCAAATTTATACTTCTTAAATTTATTGGTTGATCCCTTTATTAGACAAGATTTATATAGCCCATACCTTCTTCTAAAGCAAAAAATGGAAACTAACATTTCATTCATATAACATCCAAATTGAAAAAGATTACTAGGCACAAGCCTACAAGATAAATAAAAAAATTTTCTTACCCAGGTGGCATGCCTGGCATAACTGGTGGCATTCCTGGCATCAGAGGAGGAACACCTGGCATTAATGGAGGTATGCCTACAAGCAAGAATTTCAATCAAAGTAATAACAAATATTAAAGAGTCAGGGGGAAGAAAGTAATACTTCGATACAATATAAATAATGCCCTAAAAATGTAAGATTTTAAGCAATCCTATGTGCTACCTGGAGGCATTCCTGGTGCTCCTGCTACTGGTGGCAGTCCTGGCTGTGCCATTGGGGGAATATAACCTTGTTGAGGTTGAACAGGCTGTGGCTGAAATGAAGTTGAGGCTGCAGAGTCATCATCATCATATTCATCAGAATCATCTTGTTGTTTCTTTTTTTGACTTTCTGTTACAAAAAAATTTTAATTATTTCCATGGAGTAAAAACTAAGAAAGTTTACTTACAACATTCAATATTTAAAAATACTTATATTGGTAAAATTAGTTCATGAGATTTTTCTTCCCCCAAAATTCAATATTGCTCTATGTTCTTCAAATGTGTTTTCACCCTATATTAAACAAGGTTAACGTTCTTTCCCTGTCCCATAAAAGGTAAAATGATTATCCTAAATCAGTATTTTTTCTTTTAAATTTTTAGTAGGGTCTTGCTCTGTGACGCAGGCTGGAAAGCAATGGCACGACTGTAGCTCACTGCACTCTCAAACTCCTGGGCTGAAGTGATGCTCCCGCCTCAGTCTCCCAAGTAGCTGGGACTGCAGGCACATGCCACAACACCGGGCCTTTTTAAAAAATTATTATTATTATTATTATTATTTTTGGTAAAGATGAGGTCTCGAACTTTTGGCCTCAATTGATCCTACTGCCTCAGCCACCTAAAGCACCAAAATTATAGGGAGTCCTTCATTTTCATATGCCTTAACACTTGTTAATTCTATTTGGAATTCAATTATGAACAATAACATAAGAAAATGGAATGATCCAAATGGTACTGCATATATACCAATCAAGTACATGTCTTCAAAAACAGAGCTCAAATTTAAAATTCCAAATAGATAGATCTACCATTCAATTTTATCTATCTTATCTATTGACTAATCAATTAATTTATCTAAATAGGATCTCACTGTTACCCCGGCTGCAGTGGAGAATTCACAGCTCACTGAAGCCTCAACCCCCAGGGCTCAAGACATACTCCCACCTCAGCTGAGACTACAGGCATGTGCCACCACGCCCAGCTAATTTTTATATTTTTTTGTAAAGACAGCGTGTCACTTTCTATTGCCCAGGTTGGTCTCCCAATTTCTAGGCTCAAGCAATCTTCCTGCACCGCCTGCCCATAGTGCTGGGATGACAGGTGTGAGCCACTGCAACTAACCTACCATTACATTTATAATTGAAAATAGTAACTATGGGCTTCAGTGAGGCTGAAAAAAGAATGTTATTACAAGAGGAGAGAGACGGTGGCTCACACCTGTAATCCCAGCACTTTGGGAGGCCTTGGCAGGTAGACTGCTTGAGGTCAGGAGTTTGAGACCAATCTGACCAACATGGTGAAACGCCGTTTCTACTAAAAAATATAAAAAAAAACTAGGCCAAGTGTGGTGACTCAGGTCTGTAATCCCAGCACTTTGGGAAGCTGAGGTGGGTGGATCACTTGAGGCCAAGAGTTTGCGAACAGCCTAGGCAACATGGTGAAACACTGTCTCTACTGAAAACACAGAAAAAAAAAAAAAAAAAAAAGCTGGGAATAGTGGTACACGCCTGAAATCCCAGCTGAGCAGCTGAGGCACGAGAATCACTTCAGCCTGTGAAGCTGAGGTTGCAGTGAACTGAAATCATGTCACTGCACTCCAGCCTGGCCAACAGCTAGACTCTGTCTCAAAATAAATTAATTAATTAAAAAAAAAAAAAAAAAAAACAAGCCAGGCAAGGTGGCTCACGCCTGTAATCCCAGCACTTTGGGAGGCCGAGGCGGGTAGATCACTAGGTAAGGAGCAGATCACGAGGTCAGGAGTTCGAGACCAGCCTGACCAACATGGTGAAACCCCTCTCTACTAAAAATACAAAAATTAGCCAGGTGTGGTGGTGCGCACCTCTAATGCCAGCTACTCCAGAGGCTGGGGCAGGTGAATCGCTTGAACCTGGGAAGCGGAGGTTGTGGTGAGCCGAGATCATACCACTGCACTCCAGCCTGGGCAACAGAGACTCCGTCTCAAAAACAAAAGCAAACAAAAATCAGCTGGGTGTGGTGGCACAAACCTGTAATCCCAGCGACTCAGGTGGCTGAGGCACAATAATCACTTAAGGCTGGGCACGGTGGCTTGCGCCTGTAATCCCAGCACTTTGGGAGGCCAAAGCGGGCAGATCACCACTTAAGGTCTGGAGTTCAAGATCAGCCTGGCCAGCATGGTAAAACCACAAAAATTAGCTACTAAAACCACAAAAATTAGCCGGGCGTGGTGGTGCATGCCTGTATTCCCCAGCTACTCAGGAGGCCGAGGCAAGATTATCACCTGAACCTGGGAGGCACAGGTTGCAGTGCAGTGAGCCGAGATCATGCCACTGCACTACAGCCTGGCAACAAAGCAAGACTCCACGTCAAAAAAAAAAAAAAAAAAAAAAAATATATAGATAGATAGATAGATAGATAGATAGATAGATTTACTAAAAATACATACAAAAAAATTAGCCAGGTGTGGTGGCAAGTGCCTGTAATCTCAGCTATTTGGGAGGCTGAGAAAAAAGAATCACTTAAACCCCGGAGGCAAAAGATGCAGAGAGCCGAGATCACACCACTGTACTCCAGCCTTGGCTGGACAGAGTAAGCCTCTGTTCTCACAAAAAAAAAAAAAAGAAAATTTATCCCAATATTTACCTTGTGTTTTCTGCTCAAGAAGTCGTCGTCTTTCATCCATGTCTTTTTCTGGAATACCTTCCATACCGTATATTTCCAATTCTATGTCTGTTCTTCCAGGTATTGCATTTGGTACGGCATCTATTGTTTCTTTATGTACCTAACAACAACAATTTCCATTAAAGTCTTTTTTTAAGAATAATTATGAATTAATCAAAGACTACTTAGTATAATGTTAAAGAATAAATGTTCTATGGTGAGGCCATGTAGGGTCAATTCCCAGTTTTGCCATTCACTAGCTCTGTGACTGATATCAAGCATGTCAGTGGACCTCTAAGCCTGTTTACTTCATCTATATAGTAGCTAACTTGTAGAGTTGTTTTTAGGATTAAATACTATATATAAAAAATACTTGGCCAGACGTCTAACACACAGTATACATTCAATAAACATTCTTTCAAGTTTATCATATAATCTTGATTACTTCAATTATTAGCAGTAACTAGTAGTCCTATCCAAATCAGGGATGTTTCACATGTGAATTAAGAAAAGATTAGGAAACAGCCTCATATTAGAATTACAATATAGCCAGGTGAGGTGGCTCACACCTGTAATCCCAGCACTGGGGAGGCCGAGATAGGTGGTTCACCTGAGTCAGGAGTTTGAGGCCAGCCTGGTCAACATGGCAAAACCCTGTTCCTACCAAAAATACAAAAATTAGCTGGGCGTGGTGGGGGGTGCCTGTAATACCAGCCATTCAGGAGGCTGAAGAGGGAGAATCGCTTGAAGTGAGCAGAGATCGCAACACTGCAATCCAGTCTGCACGACAGAGGGAAGAGTCCCTCAAAAATAAAAATAAAAAAAAGCTAGGCGTGGTGGTGCACACCAGTAATCCCAACCACTGGACAGGCTGAGGCATGAGAATAACTTGAACACGGGAGGCAGAGGTTGCAGTGAGCATTCCAGCCTAGGCTGAAACAGCGAGACTGTCTCCAAAAATAAAAATAAAAAAATAAAAAGCTGGGCGCGGTGGCTCACGCCTGTAATCCCAGCACTTTGGGAGGCCAAGGCAGGCGGATCACGAGGTCAGGAGTTTGAGACCAGCCTGACCAACATGGTGAAACCCTGTCTCTACTAAAAATACAAAACTTAGCCTGGCATGGTGGCATGCACCTGTAATTCCAGCTACTCAGGAGGCTGAGGCAGGAGAATCGCTTGAACATGGGAGGCAGAGGTTGCAGTGAGCCGAGACTGCACCATGGCACCATAGCCTGGGCAGGAGAGTGAGATTCTGTCTCAAAAATAATGATAATAATAATTACAATAGCAAATTTTCTAAGTACAGATCTTGAGACAAGCCTCTGGTTACAAACTAGAAAAGTTACATTTACAATCAGAATCACTTGCAACTAATGAGTTACGTGAGGCATTTTACTTTTTTTTTTTAAGACAGGGTCTCACTCTGCCGCCCAGGCAGGAGTACAGTGGCATTATCTCAGCTCACTGCAACCTCTGCCTCTCAAGCTCAAGCCATCCTCCCACCTGAGCCTCCCAAGTAACTGGGACTACAGGTGTGTGCGCTGCCATGCCTGGCTAAGTTTTGTATTTTCTGTGGCGATGGGGTTTTGTTACATTCCTCACACTGGTCTCAAACTCCTGAACTCAAGAGATGCACCCGCCTCAGTGTCCTAAAGTGCTGGGGTTACAGCGGTGAGCCACCATGCCCGGCCCTGAGGCACTTCAACATGTTTCTTGCAACACACTGAAAATCTGGGATTTTTTTTTCTCACTATATTGTTTTGCTACATAAATGTTTCTAATCTTCAGATCTGGACAACTTTTGCCAATATCCCTCCCAGTCTTGGTTTCTTCAGCAAGCCATTTTGCTGAAGTAGACGTCAAAGTATTTTGCCTAGACTATCAAGTCTTTCTGGAAATGCTAATGCATGCTCAAGTTTGAGAAGCCCTGATTTAGGCTAATGACTTAGATATACTCGCCCAAATAACATTCATTTTTTCTTTCCTCATAAAACATTTTCATGTATGAACAGAAAAGTAACTACAAAAAGGTAAGTATTTTCTTCTTAGCAATGTATCTCACTTAAAGATTTGAAACTGGGGCATGCAAACCAAACTCAGAAATTATCTTGTTTTTTTTTTTTTTTTTTTTTGAGACGGAGTGTAGCTCTGTCACCCGGGCTGGAATGCAGTGGCCGGATCTCAGCTCACTGCAAGCTCCGCCTCTCGGGTTCACGCCATTCTCCTGCCTCAGCCTCCCGAGTAGCTGGGACTACAGGTACCCGCCACCTCGCCCGGCTAGTTTTTTGTATTTTTTAGTAGAGACGGGGTTTCACCGTGTTAGCCAGGATGGTCTTGATCTTGTGACCTCGTGATCCGCCCGCCTCGGCCTCCCAAAGTGCTGGGATTACAGGCTTGAGCCACCGCGCCCGGCTAATATCTGATTGTTAAAAGCTATTCCTTATATAGCAATTATAATATTTATGGATAAAGCGGCTCAACAAGTGACTTAATTGCCCTGTTTCCTAAGGATTTTTGGAATATTTTGCTATTCTTAAAGAGATGACGCAACAGGCATTCTATAAACAATTACATTCACATACACACTAATCTTCACTACATTTCTGAGGGCAACAATTTACTAATTTAAAGGTGTTATCTATTATGGTACAGCCAGAGTTAGATTTCTTGGGACCTTGTCAAGCAAAGTCATAGGGTCTTGGTTGAAAAGACAGGAGGCAAGCATTGATGAGAAACTGCAGGTAACCAGCTAACTTACTAATCATGTCTTAGGGTTTATCATCTATAAAACTGGTATGATTTAACTGCCAGGCCTATCTCACAGGTTGCTGTGAAAATATAGGACTAAATAAAGGCACTCAGACAATTAATAATGTTACTAACAGTTTCTCAACTAACCTCCTTGCAGCTTCCACACCACTTCTCTGCTCTTCATATAGTACAACTCCCTAAGAGTGCCTCCGCTTCCTCTCCCTTTGTCTCTTCAAAGCACCGTAATCACACTTCACCCTCACCACTCTTAGCAATGACTCTTTGTCAAGTCACCAATGACCTTATTAACCCAGTCTCAGTCCTCTTACTGAACCAACCACCAGCATTTGACTCAGTTAAATAAGTCACTCCTTGAAACACATCATTGACTTCCAGGGCACTATTCTTGGTTTTCCTACCTTTCAATCTCCTTGGATGATTCCTAATTTCCATCCACATTAGATTCCCTAGAAAGGAAATCTAGTAGCATGGCTTAAACTAGCCACCCATACATTATATGCTTCCACATTTCTATCTCCTGTTTTAACTTCTGTGAATTCCTGACCTGTACATCAAACTGCTTAGGTAACCTTTCCGTCTGAATATTTAATAGACCTCAAACATACCTACACTCAAAATTAACACAGGCCTCCCTTATTCTCATTCTTAAGTCTATTATTCCTGTAGCTTTTCACATTTCGATATATGCTAACTCATTTTCACACTGCTCAGATAAAACATTTTTGAGACAGGGTCTCACTCTTGTAGCCCAAGTTGAAGCCGAGTAGTGCTATCACGGCTCATTGCAGTCTTGTCCTCCCTAGCCCAAGCGATCCTTCCTGCCTCAGCCTTCTCAGTAGCTGGGACACAGGCACGTGCCACCATGCCCAACTTTGCATTTTTTGTAGAGATAGGGTCTCATTACATTGCCCAGGCTAGTCTCGAACTATTAGGATCAAGTGATTAGTCCAACTCAGCCTCTCAAAGTGCTGATTACAGGCGTGAGCCACCGCACCTAGCCAGACCATCTTGAGATTACCCTTAACTCCTCAGTTTTTCTTATATCCCATATCTAACCTATCAAACTCTGGTCTCTGTCACCATCTCCTCTTGTCTGTAATATTCCAAGTCTTCTAAACTGGTCTCACTGTACTCTACACTCTACTTTCAACCCTGCAGCCAGAAAAATCCTTTTAAAAAAGTCTTACAGGCTGGACGCCGTGGCTCATGCCTGTGATCCCAGCACTTTGGGGGGCCAAGGAAGGTGGATCAGGTCAGGAGTTCAAGACCAGCCTGGCCAAGATGCTGAAACCCCATCTCTACTAAAAATACAAAAAAATTAGCCAAGCACAATGGTAGGCACCTGTAATCCCAGCTACTCGGGAGGCTGAGGCAGGAGAATCACTTGAACCCGGGGAGCAGAGGTTGCAGTGAGCCAAGATCACGCCACTGCACTCCAGCCTGGGCAAAAGAGACTTCGTCTCAAAAAAAAAAAAAAAAAAAAAAAAGTCTAACGGAGGCCAGCTGCAGTGACTTATATCTGTAATCCCAGCACTCTAGGAGGCTGAGACAGGATCACATGAAGCCAGGAGTTCAAGACCAGCCTGGCCAACATGGCGAAACCCCATCTCTACTAAAACTACAAAACTCAGACAGGCACAGTGGTACACGCCTGTAATTCTAGCTACTCAGGAGGCTGATACACATGAATCACTTAATCCCAGGAGACGGAGGTTGCAGTGAGCCCAAGACAGAGCAAAACTCTATTTACTTATTTTTTTTGAGACAGAGTGACAGAGCATACATCTCTATTTAAACCCCCATTTCATTCAGAATTAAAGAAAACAGCCAGGTACAGTGGCTCACAACTGTAATTCCACCACTTTGGGAGGCTGAGGTGGGAGAATCGCTTGATCCCAGGAGTTGGAGACCAGCCTAGGCAACACAGTGAGACCCTGTCTCTATAAACTAAAATTTTAAAAATAGCCGGGTATGGTGGCACACACCTGCGGTCCCAGGTACTCAGGAGGCTGAGATGGAAGGATCATTTGAGTAAGGGAGTTCAAAGCTGCAGTGAGCTATGATCTGCACTCCAGCCTGGGCAACAGGGTGAGACCCTGTCAATCAATCAAAAGAAAATGTTCTTATCCACATTATCCAATATAATAGTTAGCTACGTGACAGAGACACTGAACATTTAGCTATTCATAGAATTTCAAATAGCCACATGTAACTAGTGGCCGCAACAGTGAACAGCTGTGGGTCTAACATGTAGTAGGTTCTCTAACTTTTTTTTTTTTTTTTTGAGACGGAGTCTCTGTCACCCAGGCTGGAGGAGTGCAGTGGCACAAACTCAGCTCACTGCAACCTCCACTTTCCAGGTTCAAGTGATTCTCCTGTTTCAGCCCCCTGGGTAGCCAGGACTACAGGCGCCCGCCACCACGCCCAGCTAATTTTTTCTATTTTTAGTAGAGATGGGGTTTCACCATGTTGGCCAGGTTGGTCTCAAACTCCTGACCTCAGGTGATCCATCCGCCTCAGCCTCCCAAAGTGCTGGTATTACAGGCGTGAGCCACCGCATCTGGTCAACATTTTAAAGTGAGTATTAAATTGTTGTTAAAGTATATGGAGTTTTTGTATTTCTTAATAGAGACGGGGTTTCACCGTGTTAGCCAGGATGGTCTCGATCTCCTGACCTCGTGATCCGCCCGTCTCGGCCTCCCAAAGTGCTGGGATTACAGGTTTGAGCCACCGCGCCCGGCATCAATTTATCCTTAAACCCAGAGAAACCGTGTCTCCCTACCTCCCACCAACAGTAGTTTCCAATGATTGGGTATTTGATCTTCTCATATTTCTCTAAGGTATAATTTAGCAAAAGTACAGACGGCTCTAGGACTAAGCAAAAGTAGAATAACGTTGAATGAGACATGAAGGTACTTACTAGATCTTAAAAACTGTAAGTTACAATGCTCTATTTTCTAAAAGAACTTAAGAAACCTAGAAATTATTGTTACTATTACTATTATTATTTTGGGGATGGAGTCTCACCCTGTCGCCCAGGCTGGAATGCAGTGGCGCCATCTCGGCTCACTGCAACCTCCACCTCCAGGGTTCAAATGATTCTCCTGCCTCAGACTCCCCAGTAGCTGGGATTACAGGCACACCCCACCACACCCGGCTAATTTTTGTATTCATCATGTTGGTCAGGTTGGTCTTGAACTCCTGACCTTGTGATACGCCCACCTCGGCCTCCCAAAGTGCTGGGATTACAGGCGTGAGCCACCATGCCTGGTTGAAACCTAGAAATTATTAAATGAAATACAATTCTGGGCTGGCACAATGGCTCATGCCTATAGTCCCAGGGCTTTGGGAGAACGAGGCAGGAAGATGGCTAGAACCCAGGAGTTTGAGGCTGCAGTGAGCCATAACCATGTCACTGCAATCCAGCCTGGGCCACAGAGCAAGGCCGTCTCTTAGAAGCAAAGAATACAACGCTGCCATTCCAATAAATAAGTTGCTGAAATTAGCCTAGCCCCAAGCTACAGATAATAACAAATCCTTCAATGGCAGTGAGTAATGACAGCTAATTAAGTATTAATCCTTATGGCCAGACCACCTACAAAATCTAAATCGCTGATCCTTGTTCTCTGCTCCAAGAACTCAGGAAATATTTTGTGATTTCAATCTGTTACCAATCTACCCTAGTAAGGTACTATCAAACTAAATACAAATATAAACTCTCTTTAAACATAAAAAGCCAGTTTTGTTTACTGTCTTGATGGCTACCGAACAACTTTTTTTTTTAAGGCTGACTAGCTATCTTATTTTTTGCAGTAAGTAAATGAACAACAACAACAAAAAAATTACAGTTGTCAGAAAAATAAATGATTATTCTTTCAGCCAGGCGCGGTGGCTCATGCCTGTAATCCCAGCACTCCGGGAGGCCCAGGTGGGTAGATCACCTGAGGTCACGAGTTCAAGACCAGCCTGGTCAACATGGTGAAACCCCAGTGTGTACTAAAAATACAAAAAATTAGCCAGGCATGGTGGCGGGCGCCTGTAGTCCCAGCTACTCGGGAGGCTGAGGCAGAAGAATCACTTTAACTGGGGAGGCGGAGGTTGCAGTGAGCCGAGATTGCATCACTGCACTCCAGCCTGGGCGACAAGACCGAAGCTCAAAAAAATAAAAAAGATTATTCTTTCAAGTTGTTTCCAAATCACAAGCGGACAATAAACACAGAAGAAAAATCCTTACCTGCATGCAATGAATAGCTAAGCCAGGTCCTGTATACAATTTCTTGTGACATATATGGCATTTAAAATGCTTTGCTTTTTGGTGCTGTATAAGGATCTTCTCATCATCAAAATCTCTATTACAATACCTGATCAATACTGTTAAGGCACAAAAACAGCATAATGATGACACTGCCTGTAATAAAAACACATGGATAACACTACAGTATAGGAACAGCTAAAACCAAAATGGTACTGTACAGAAACCCTGCTTTTGATATTTATTACACAATTAAGGACTGCACATGCCATGTAATTTCAATATTTTCAATTTCCTAGAAGCCTATCTCTCTTCACTACCTCAAAAAACACATCAGTCATCAGCAATATACTTTGTCAAATTCCTATGTTCAACAGAGATGTCTGTGAAACTTTTGTTACAAATATTTCAACATTTACAAATGCACACTGAGGACAGGAAGGAGTTCAGTTAAGAAATCCCCAAGGTTCTGTCTAGACAATTACTTCACTAGATACGTAGACGATAGCCATAACTGGATTAGGAATTTAGCAATATTTAGAATCTAAGATTATATGGTGAACAATAATCACATAATTTCGAATGAACAATCCATAAAATTGTTTCCAATTCCGAATGAATTTGTTGCCAAGCAATGTATTTAAATTCACAGATCAATAAAATCAATAAAACAGAATTCTTACCTCACTACTCAGATTTTCCTAAAATCACATTACAAAATTCGTAACCGTATTTAAGCTATTTTTAAAGCTGTTACATAAATAAATGCAGTACTGTAACAAGCCGCCTTTACGTACAAAACTAAACAAAATCAATTTTAATGTAAAGAATATTAACGCTTCCGGAAAAAGTATTAAATAATACCACACTGTAGTAAGAGTTTTCCTTTCTAATAAGATAGTCATTTTTTAGTCCTACAAAGTTGGGTAACAGAAACTCCACCCTGTGAGAACGCTTCCTGCAGATTAAGGCGCCCCTGGGTGAGACACGGAAGCTAGTTCTCCTCCAGCCCCAAGAAGAAAAAAAAAGGTTCGAAACCAGGGTTGACTAACTTGGGCCTTTACTAAACCGCCAATTCGAAAAAACACAAAGCACCCATAAAGTACATAAAAACAGAAAAAGTGGGTGACAGACTGGGAAGCTCTTCCCCAACCCTCCATGGAATTAATAAGCCTATCGCACTCGAAGAAAAGTCCCTTTGTTGAACCGTCACCAAAACAACGGAATGTGGCTGAATAGTCCCTAGGGGACACTGTCCTTGGCGGAGGGGTCCAGGCCGCCTCCCAGAGTCCAAAATTCGCACCAAACAAGATCCTCCTGAGTCAGTCACACGATCCACAACTGCAAGATCCTCTCGACCTCGGAATATCATTTTCCTAGAAGCCTTCCCAAGTCCAATCCCAGCCACCAGGCCACCCACGCCAACGCTTAAATACAAACGCTCCACGCCATAGGCCAAACCCAGGCCTCCCAGTCCCAGGCCCCACCAACCGGCACCCCAGCGCGACCTCGACTTCAAACCGACAAAGGATACCAGCACCACGGCTTCAGCTGCTTCTTCTTCTTGCGACCCATAACTGTGTTCTACCGACAAAGTAAAAGGGAGGAGAAAAGAAGCAGGAGAAACGAAGCGAAAATCCCTCACTTTCCCGACCCAACGGCTACGACCGCGTCCCACAGGAAGCAGACACAAAATGGCCGACGGCCTCGTTCGCCGCTCCGCCTCCCGTCAGGCACTGCGGCAGGAGGCGGAGCCAGGAAGGGAGGGTCACAGGGCGCAGACCTCCGCCCTGAGTGGGTGGGACTAAGAGGCGCGAAGAGGTGGCTGACATCTTGTCCGTTTGAGAGTCTTTCGCTTTCGCTGTCAGTGCTTGCGGAGCACTTCGGATTTCTTTTGTAAAGGAGCCAGAGACCTAGGTACGCCAAGGCACATGCAAATGGAAAACAGAAAACGAAAAAACGGGAAAGATTGCCAGTGCAGTTAGGGCCGATCACAAATAGAGATAGAGACAGCGCCTAATTTTAATTTTGTTTTAACAGTAAATGTTGATTATGTGCCTATTAAATGCTAAACCAAAGAAGTTAGTCTCTGCTTTGTAACTCGCAGATTGGTGACAGACGAGTACACAACGCAGAGCCCTCAGCGCGGCGTTGGGGGAAATGTGAAGTGCTGTAGGACCTCAGAGAGCGGGAGTCCTAAGGCGGCCGTAGTGGTAGTGATCATTGGGTTGTCAAGAAAGGTTTTGTTTTTCTTTGTTTTGTTTTATTTTTCTAAGACGAAGTCTCGCTCTGTCGCCTAGGCTGGAGTGCAGCTGCGCGATCTCTACTCACTGCACCCTCTGTCTCCCGGGTTCAAGCGATTCTCCTACCTCAGCCTCCTGCGGGACCGCGCCACCAAGCCCGGCTAATTTTTGTATTTTTAGTAGAAATGGGGTTTCACCGTGTTAGCTAGGCTGGTTTCGAACTCCTGGGCTTAAGTGATCCGCCCGCCTCGTCCTCCCGAAGTGCTGGACTGCAGACTTGAGCCGCTGCACCCGACACAAGAAAGGTTTCTTGAAGAGTCAAAGGGAGCAAGCAAGGTGAAGGAAAGGGTATCTCAGTAAGGGAGCAAAGAGTTGAAGTCTTTGAGGCTGGGCACGTGAAAACACTAGTCGTGGTAAGACTGGAGCTGATAGCCGGGCGCGGTGGCTCACGCCTGTAATCCCAGCACTATAGGCCGAGGCCGGGGCCGAGGCCGAGGCCAAGCCTGGCGGATCACTTGAGGTCAGGAGTTCGAGACCAGCCTGGCCAACATGGTGAAACCCTGTCTACTAAAAATACAAAAATTAGCCAGCCGTAGTGGCAGGTGCCTGTAACCTCAGCTACTCTGGAGAATGAGGCAGGAGAATCACTTGAACCTGGGAGGTGAAGGTTGCAGTGAGCCGAGATCTCGGCATTGCACTCCCGCCTGGGTGACAGAGTGAGACTCCATCTCAAAAAAAAAAAAAAAAAATACTGGAGCTGTCAGTGAAGGTGCTGGTCACAAGAGATAATCCTAGGGAGGCTAGCAAAGGTGGATTCTGGCAAACCCTAGAAACATTGTCAGAAGTTGGATTTCAGGCTGAAGTCTCTGAGAAGGCACTCTCGCTCTGTGGCCCAGGCTGGAGTGCTGTGGCCGGATCTCAGCTCACTGCAAGCTCCGCCTCCCGGGTTCCCGCCATTCTCCTGCCTCAGCCTCCCGTGTAGCTGGGACTACAGGCGCCTGCCACCTCGCCCGGCTTATTTTTTTTAATATTTTTAGTAGAGACGGGGTTTCACCGTGTTAGCCAGGATGGTCTCGATCTCCTGACCTCGTGATCTGCCCGTCTTGGCCTCCCAAAGTGCTGGGACGAGCCAGCTGGCGATCACTTGAGGTCAGGATTCCGAGACCAGCCTGGCCAAGCAGTGGAGGACAACTTCTGTCTACTATACACAATAACAAAAATTAGCCATCCGACAGTGGCAGGTGCTGTAACACTCATCATTAGCACCTCTGGCAGAAAGCTGAGGCCACTGAGAATCGACCTTCTATGAGAACCTGGACAGGTGACAGGGTAGTGAGGAGATCTCGGCCATGGCACTCCCAGCCTGGGTGACAGAGTGAGACTAGAACCTGACTCAAGTGATCCACATCTCAACACACAAACACAACAAAAAAAACACCTCGAAGCTGTTCACTGGAATGTGACACGGTACGACACAGCAGAGTACCACTCCTGCAGGAGCCGCAGCCCTAGCAAACAAGGAATCGATTTCTTAGCCAAACCCCCGTACATGCAAACACATATAATTGTCAATAGCAATGTAAGTCTTATTTCATACACTGCTGACAGTCATCTCTGAGAAAGCCAAGAGAAGTCAGCTCTCTTCTCTGGCGAAGCAAATATGTCTTCTGTGACAGGCTGTACTCCTTCAATCGAGGCTTTCTGGCGCGAAGCCATCAGGTTCGGCGCTGGGCCCCTAAATCATGTTTCTTGCGATGGGCAAATTTATTTCTTCCAGATGCCAATCTTCTCGTTCCCATCCTCTTTCATTCATCTATAACAAGCTGTGGCCTGACAATCAGGCTGGAATGCTCGTGGCCGGTCTCCTACCCGGCAATCCTCAGCTCATCTGCAAGCTTCCGCCTCCCCCTGGGTTCCGCCATTCTGCCGGTCGCCATCTCTGCTCAGCCTCCGTGTAGCTGGGACTACAGGCGCCTGCCACCTCGCCGGCTTATTTTTTTTAATATTTTTAGTAGAGAGCGGGTTTCACCGTGTTAGCCAGGATGGTCTCGATCTCCTGACCTCGTGATCTGCCCGTCTTGGCCTCCGCAAAAGTGCTGGATTACAGGCTTGAGCCACCGTGCCCGGCCTGGCACAGAGGAGTTCTAAAGAGGGCCAACTGGAGGATCATGCAAGTGAGAGGTGGTTAAAGCCAGTGCTTGGGTTCATAGTCCACCAGTGCCACCTGCCTAGCTGCTGACTTTGGGCAGGCATTAAACTTCATCTGGCGCATCAGAACAGAGCTTGGCATATAGTATATAAACTAGTGATGTAAATCATGTTTACATTAAAAGCAGAAAATAATAGCAGACATCCATGGAGCACCTACCGCGTGTGCCAAGCATTGTAGTAAGTTTTAACATTATTTATCTCAGCCTCTGGGGTAGGAGCCATTATTGTCAACTTTTAATAGAGATGAGAAAAAAGATTTAAGAGAGCTGGAATAATTTGCCCGAAAGCACAAAGTAAGTGTGAGAACTGAATTGAATTTTAAAGGATAAGTTTAGGCTGGGCGCAGTGGCTCAGCCTGTAATCCCAGCACTCTGGAGCTGAGGTGCGGTGATCACCTGAGTCAGGAGTTCGAGACCACCGGCCAGCATGGTAAAACCAGTTTTACTAAAAAACAAAAAAAAAAAAAAAAGTAGCCAGGCATGGTGGGACACTGCCTGTAAACCCAGCTACTCGGGAGGCTGAGGCAGGAGAAATCCTTGAACCCGGGAGGCAGAGGCTGCAGTGAGCCAAGATTATACCACTGCACTTCAGCCTGCGCGATAGAGGGAGACTGTCTCAAAAAAAAAAAAAAAAAAAGGAAGTTCAGGCTGGGCAGTTGCAAGCCTGTAATCCCAGTGCTTTGGAGACCGGAGCAGGAGGGTGGCTTGAGGCCAGGAGTGTGAGATCAGCCTGGTACCATAGTGAGACCATCTCTATCAAAAATGAATTAAAAATGAAAACTTCAAAACCATATTGCAATGTAATATTCCCA